TCGATTAATCGCCGTTAATTGAACGCGTCGAATGCCGAGCGCGCGAGACCTCCTGGCCTCCTGGCCTTGTTTGGCCACGCATCCTCCGGAAAGTTCAAGTCCCGAAACGCGGAAATTCTTGCGATTCTCGAAATTCTTTGGCGTCTTCGGCGAATTGCCCTGCTTCCTCAATTTCGATATATTCGTTTGATTTAGGTTCCGTGTCGCTGCCGCGTCCGTTGTGGATTCATTTCCGTTGTTTCATGGTCACTCCTTTAGGAAGAGAAACAACCTGAAGCTCTTTGGAGAAACCTTGAAACTGAGCTTCCAGGTTGCTCCTCCGCCTGGAGAAGTGACAAAACTTTGGAAACAAACAGAACGACAATGATTCAACGTCGACGAGGGTTGAATTAACGTTGACTCAATGGTTCATCATTTCAACGTCAAATCAACGTCGAATCGACGTTATGATTCTGACTGGGAATCCATCACGGCTGCGGATATGAGATCGAGCGGTTCTCTGCATCGCCTCTGAAATAGAGATGTGCGAACTATTCGAATTCGAATCGAATCGAATCGAATCTAATGTAATTCGATTCGATTCGAATCCGAATCTCTATGATTCGAATCCGAATAATTCGGAAATCTCGAATCGCGAAAATTCGAATACGAATCAAATATATTAGCGTTTGTGCGTATCAGTTATAAAACGGGCCATCTGGGCCTGTATATTTGAACCCTTAACTTATTTTCAATTAATTATTAATTAATAATGTTTAATTACCGTAATTAACCTAACTTATAATTAATAACTTAATTATAAATTACTTTAAATATTTAAATATATACTTCACTTTAAGATGATATTACAATATTATCAATATTCCCTTTCATATTAAAATCTTCCATCATTATTTGCACGCTTAATATCCATGTTACATTTTTTAATGGTTCGATTCGATTTGATTCGAATTCGAATGAAAGTTCATGGATTCGATTCGATTCGAATTCGAATTTAAAAAATGAGATTCGATTCGATTCGATTCGACATAAAAATTCTTGATTCGCACATCTCTGCTCTGAAAGTCGATAAAGTTGATACATTTTTGTCGGGACAATGTGAGCGCTCGCGCTTTATCGCTCTTCCTCGTTGTGTCTGTCTTTCGTTGAAGAGAAGCCCGCTTCAGTCCGCTTGGAGAAGGAACGTCTTCTCAGCGCGCTCTCTTCACGATACCGTCAATGTCGTCTTTCAAATTCATTTATGTTCTCGCGGGGGTTTAAGACAGCGCAAATATAAACAGCGATTAGGGGGTGATCCTAAGTAAACACGTCGCTCAAGTGGCCGAAGTGCGCGTGCGCACGCGCGGCAAGAAGCGACGGAAATAAAAGTGACGGCCGCGAGTTCCGAGCGGAGCGCTGCGACGTTCGTCCTCCGCAATCGCGCCAACACTTTCGTTCGCGAAAGAATTCCAACACATTTCGTCCACGGTGGAGTCAGAAGGGTGCGCCGACGCTCACGAACTCGCGCGATTATCCATTACGGAGAATGACAACATGTGAATCATTCGACGTCACAACGGAGAACTCGGAAAAATCGGGGGCCTTTGTTATAATTCCGTCGTCCCATATCAGATAAGAGTACAATGGAAGGCTGTTATTTAGAATTGAGCTTTTAGAAATTCGTCAAGAACAAATACGGACTCGGCGGACTGTCGGCTACGTTTCAAACTGCACCGAGAGAGTGTTGGAACCATATTGAGATTAACCCTTGAACACTGGGATGTTTTTGTTGTCTCTTATTATTAGGACGGGTGAATTTTCACCCATAATTTTAAACCCATTTTTTATTATTTTTTGTTAATGTACATGAATTATATAAATACCCGTTTGGGGACGGGTGTGCGTTCACGACACTCAACAGTTGTGCAACTATTGAGTGAGCGGTCGCCATTTTTCTCATCATAAATATTCGTCGTTACCTTTACTGATCAGTTTACTCCGATCCGACATGGCGCAGTCCATGAAGAAATGAAGAAAATAACAAGGAAAATAGTATAAATCCAAATATATATATATATATATATATACAGGGTGTCCGAGATCTTTTGGAAACGAAATATTGTGGAGACTAATCGGATCAAACTGAAAAGAAAAGTTACGTATCATTTTGCAAAAATCGCAATAGTTATTAAGTTATTAATGACTGCAAACAACCATATCTAGAAGCTCTTTTAATTGATAACTTGAAAATTTGCCTATTTATTTACAAAATAGTAAAGGACCTTTTTGTTCAGAATAATCTAATCTATTATACAATTATATGATGGTTATTGCATCATATGGTCTAGCGATAAATATGTGTATATTGAACCTTGAACTTTGGATCTTGAACCTGTTGCTAGGCACAATAGCCATCGTATAATTATAGATTAGGTCATTCTGAAGAAAAAAGTCCTTTACCATTTTGCAAACAAGTACGCAAATTTTCAAATTATCAATTAAAAGAGTCTCTAAATATGGTCATTTTCAATTATTAATAATTATTGCGATTTTTGCAAAATGATTGTATGAAGTTGATTTGACTTTTCTTCTCAGCTTGATCTGATTAATCTTCACAATTTTTCGTTTCCAAAAGATCCCGGACACCCTGTATAAACATGTTAAGGATGGTGTAGAATACTGTGTGTAGAATACTGTGTAACAGATACATACGAATTATATTTATAAAAATACTTGATAATTACAAGATATATAAGTGTGTCGTAATATTCGGGCCGTAATATTCAATACATTTATCTGTACACTTTTGCTGCGCAACAAAATCGTGCAGAACCGATCAGTTGCGATTCAGTTCAGCGTACATCTCTACTGTTTACTAACCGTTCACTAACCGTTCACTAACCGTTCACTCATCGGATGCTGTTGTGCAACTGTTGAGTTTCGTGAACGCACTCATTTAAGCTGCGTTTAGAAGAACAAAATGATCAGTGAGCGCTTAGTGATTATTGTCTGTGATTGGAGCATTCTTTTAGATTCTTCATAGACCCAGAAGTATTTACCAATCAGGAGCGAGAATCATTAAGCGCTCACTGATCATTTTGTTCTACTGAACGCAGCCATTATAAACCCTAACGGGGACATCGCTGTGTAGTGTGCTGCTATCTAGTGGCAACAGTTAAAAGATATCATCTTGGGTGGACTTTCACCTATCTCAGTGTTTAAGGGTTAAATGTACCCCACATGGACGACAATAGCCGTAGGCAACAATGGCCATTGTAGCCTACAAGGAGATGCCGAAGTGGGTGCCATAGTTAGTCATCCTCTAAACACGCGTAGGGTGACTGCGGTGATTTTCCAACTGACTTTATGCATTTAACAAAGCTCTCCGATGCATGTACAATCTCAAAATACGAGCGAGAAGCCAAGAAGAGCCCGGCGAAGGCTGCTCTTCGCGGAATCATACGAAGGGAAATAATAATTTTTCCCGACTTGAAGATCGTATAATCTCGCGACGAGCAGCTCGAGACGGCTCTTATTGGCTCTTCTTTTATACTCTCTGCCTCTCCGCTTCATTCTTCAAGCGGACTCACAAACACAAACCGAGCAAAGCGCGGCGAGTCTCAGCTGAGCTCGTCGTCGGCTGAAAGCGGTCTATAAATATGAGTCTCCCAGGAATGATCGCGAAAGTTTCTCGTTCTCGGCCAGTCGATCACGAGCGGACGAGAAGCGCCTCATAATGACCGCTCTCGTCGGACCTTCCACGACGCCGAGAGCTCGATGCCGAGAACGGATCGAACGATCTCCCTACGTCCGAGCGACCGAGGGTCGCCGTCCGCTCCCCCTCCCCCTCCCCTTCTCCTGGGTGCCCTTTCACGATTTCCGTGGAATCAGAATAAAAAGTCGGAACTGTTAGCCGCGCTCGTAACCCGAGATGTGTAAGCTACGTTTCGGTCTCTTACGGCCTCGCTCTTAATGGCCGAGCCCGAGGAATAACACCGGAGCGTGCGTTTCTCCGAAATTCATGTGAAAGGCGCTTAGCTTGGCCGCTGCTGCTGATGCTGCTGCTGCTGCTGCTGCGAGTACGACCGAATCCCCGAACCCGCTCTTATTATTAAAGCCGTCGAAAGCGGCGAGTCGGGAGAGCCCAAGAGCTCGCGATAACGTTAATCTCTCGGCAACAGCGAAACTTTATTTATCGCCCGGCGATAGGAATTCGTGTATATACCCGAGCAGAAATCAAATACGGCAATTTTTTATGCCTGATATGGCATGACTAGGCGAGCCATAAGGAGGCACTTCGAGTGGTCCTTATATCCGGTCGGAATGTGGCAGTTGCCTTGCAATATTTTTCGGATTATACCCTGACTGCAGCGATGACGACATTATTTGGATGCCTGATTTGGTCCTGATGGACATTTCATCGGGTTACTCGATTTCAGGCAATTTTATCAGGGCATTTCACTTCTTGCAGTGCGTTTCACGTCTTATTACCTGCCGGATTCGATGAAGTTATCCGGGTCCTGTTTGAAGTTTGGAAGCCGGATGGGGTTTTAATACGGCCGTGCGACGATGTTTCGCTCGCGTAGTCGCGCCGAAGCGAGCAATTGCGCTCGCACCCCCCAGTCAGAGCTACAATGTTGATTCAACATTGATTTGACGATGAGGGTTGAATTAAAGTCCCAGTCAGAACCATAACGTTGATTCAACGTTGACTTGACGTTGAAACGGTCGATGAAATGAATTAATTCAGCCCACATCGACGTCGAATCAATCGTTGTGGTTCTGACTGGGGTTGATTCTACGGTTTATCGTTTACCATTTCAACGTCGAATCAACGTTACGGTTCTTTGTTACGCTACTTTGCGATTGTCGTAAAACCCATGGAATCTGATTGGTGCGTGTTTCTGGACTCGGCCGAATTCAAGAGCGCGCGCTGATTAACTTCGGGAATTTCGTCGACAGTCGCGAAGCAGCAGCTTTTTCCGTCGAACGCAAGTAATGTCTCGCGATCTGTCTTTCAGGCACCGGCACGAGCGATCTGAGAATGGCATAGGGAGCAGGACGAACGATCGATCGGCAGGATGTGTTATGTGATAGTCACCGGACGCAGTCTGTTATGGACGCTCTTGTCTCTGACGGCGTTGATGGCCGTTTTATCGGGCCTCATCACTCCCAGATGGCTCGTCGGACCACCAACGATTAAAGACACGAGTAAGTAAGCGCTCCCTCGGCCCCCCCCCTCTCCGGCTTCATTCAAGTTCTCGTTGCGTACATATCTCGGGTCCTTGTCGCTCCTTAATATCGGACTGCCTCGCGCAAGTATACGGAAGGAGAAAAGGATCAGTTGAATGAACGTGGCAATGAACGAGGCGACGAGTTTCCGTCGAAGGAGACAGCGTTTCTTCTGGTCTTCTGCGGTTGAATTTGCGGCTCCTAAGAATCCGAAATTCCGGCTCCTTCGAGCAAAACGCGTCTGATCTGTTCGCCGTCGCGCTGATTCTGCCAAATCCTTAGTGCAGTTTCTCTCCTATGGTTTTCGATCATCTTCCATCTTCCTCCCTTTCTCACTTCGTCACACGCAACGTGCAGGGTGTAACGTCAACATACAGGTCAGTATGACCTTCTGAGCCTGCTCCTGTTTGGACAATGATGCAGAGGTTGCCGAAAAAGTCACTCGTTGATCTCGTCGATAATGATATTCGCAGTGCTCCCAGTTATGACGAGTGCAACTAATTTTGCACTGGAATCCTTTATGACAGGAGCCAAGCGTCATTGAAAACTCCTTGTTAGAGTGTGTACTCTGAAGACTTTTTGTCTTCAGGAAAAAAGGTGTCTACGAGTCTTCTGATTCACTTACGAAGAACAAACGCTATTTTTTATACAAAAGATGTCAAGATACAAGATTATGTACCAAAAATATGTCGCTTAATATCGCTCGATTAAGTTGCGATCAATAGTTTATTCTCCGTTGAACTTGAAAGAGTGAAACTAAGAAATAAATATTATGAATTTAAGCAGAATAAATAAGAGTAATGGTCAAGGGGATACATAATGCAACATATTCTCTTGCTTCGCATGATTTCTTAATCTCCCTCTTGCATTGGAAAGTTCGGTTAGAATTGGAGATTAGAGAAAATGGCACAGAAATGGCACTTCCATTTCCGATCGATCCATATTCTTGCAGGAGCGATCTATTCGCAAAACGATGGAGGATAATACATAAGACTTCTAAATATTTCTCTGCCATTTCCTCTAATCTCCAATTCTAACCGAACTTTCCAATGCAAGAGGGAAATTAAGAAATTATGCGAGGCAAGAGAATACGTTGCATTATGTATCCCCTTGACCGTTACTCTTATTTATTCTGCTTAAATTCATAATATCTATTTCTTAGTTTCACTGTTTCAAATATCATTTTTTTTTTTTATTTAATGAGGCTCGGCCGCTATCATAAACGATTACGATGCAAAATTAGTCGCAGTCTGGGAGTACTGCAAGTATCATTATCGAGACGAGTGACTTTTTCGGCAACGACTCTGTCTGCATCATCGTCCGAGTGGGAGTGGAGTAATCCGCCATATTGACTTACATGTTGACGTTGTACCCTGCATGTACGTACCTCGCTGGGAAATTTCAGGGAACGGCACGGAACTCTACACACCCACCGTCGGGATCTTCAACCGTTGCACGAGATTGTACGGGAGGTCGCATTGCGCGAACTTCAACGGCGACGGTCTCTCGACGGACTCCAACGTTTTCCCGGGATGCTGGAAGGCTTCCTTATTCTTCTTGTCCTTGGGCCTGGCGGTGATGTCGATTACTGTGATAGCTGCTCTGCTGGGGTGCTGCGTGCAGAGTATCGGCCGCAAGAGCATCTTCAATTTGGCGGGCGTGGCGCAGGCCGTGGCTGGTAATGTTCTTTTACGAGGAGGAAGGAAGATTAGAAGCGCATACGCTTTATCGTTAATGATAGGATTTCGACGAACAGAGCTCGTTAAGGAAATCACGCGAATTGGTCTCGGAAACGCTCGCGATACGCTCTCTGATCGAGCAACCCATACGGCACAAAAGTTGCGGCAACATTGCCGCAACGTCGCAGCGATATTGCTGCAATTTTCTGTGCTGTATGGGAAGAAATGAGATACCAACCTGCTTAGACCACCCTGCAGATACTCCATTCCGTGCGATAAATTATAATAAAAGAGAGAGAGAGAGAGAGAGAGAGAGGAGAATATGCGTGTCAAACATTCTTTTCCACAGGGATACTGTATCTCTTCGGGATGATCCTGTATCCTGCCGGTTGGGGCGCCGAGAGGGTACAGAGGATCTGCGGTCCTGAAGCAGACGCTTTCTATCTCGCCAACTGCAGCCTTGGTATTCAGACAGATACAAGTTTCGATATTGCGAATTAAAAATTACGAGAGGCTTCACTCTTTTGACCGTCAGAATTTTGGGCTGGTAACTTTGCGGTCTACGTGTATCTCTCACGAGGGACAACGATTTTCTGAAAACTAACCTAAAACTAACTAACGTAAAGTCACAAATTAGGAATTATAAACTCGCACGTAAAGCTGAATCGGGCTGCAGGAGGATATAAAAAGCAAGTGTAAAACGTATTCTTTTCAGGCTGGGCCTTTTACAGCGCGAGCATCGGCGTCGTCCTTACCTTCCTCTGCGCAGTTTTCAGCGGGCAGGCGGAGAAGTCGACCGCCAGCGACAAGATTCAGGACAAAATGAACGAAGGAAAGACCCTGATATGCTTAGCCTGAGCACTTCGATCAGATCAGCGAGGGGTTTGATCTCGCCAAGCGACGAGCAACGTCGCTGCGAAGGTGTCGGAAAAAATCGCCGACGAAAAACAGCAAGTGTTCACCGCGCGACGGGATGACTAAAGGATTGTCGTCGAGCAAATTACTCACGATCGGTTACAAAGCGGCCATGATTAATCGCGCACCGAAAACGAATATTCATAATAAAATGTTTGTATGCCTGCAGTGTTCATTGAATCCTATATTTTATACTTTATCGTGTATCTCTTTGTCAACGAAATATATAAGGTGAATCAGCGTCAGCAAATTATTTGTCTTCCATTTGTTTCGATATGAGTGGAGTGGAGTCTATCATCGCAACGCGTATCGCGATATGTACAGGGTGTTAAATTTCAAACGTAGCAAAGTCGAATATCTCAGAAACTAAGGGCGGCAGACAAAAATGTTTCAGACAAAAGTTGTAGAGTTTTGACAAATGCATCAAATGGCGATACTCATTTGACCTTGAGAGTAGTTATGAAGGAGACCTCAAGGTCAACTTTAAAATCTTAAATGGACCCCCCTTAGTTTTTATTACATCATCTTTTCCAATCGATTAATTTAAACAACTTTTGTTGAAAACATTTTTTTCTGTCGCGCTCAGTCCGAGATATTCGGCCTGTTACGTTTGGAATGTAACACCCGGTATATATATATAAATGTTGCGACCTTTCTCACACCATATTGCTGCGCGATGTACCGCTGTCTTTCCGGTTGGCCTAGTTTGTATGATATCAGTGAGTCTCAATTGATAAATAATGGAATTTATTCGTTTTATTCTTATTTATCAACAGATTTCATGTGAAATTCGATCAAACGTATAATTTAAATAGATACATGTACATAAAATTGTTGGCTGTGTCAGTCGATTATATACACGTGTATAAATAATGAAGGCACCAAGGGAGTCAACAATCAATAAATTACACGGGTGAATTTTTTACAAAAAATTTTCGACAAAAGAAAACCGAGAGAAGGTCGGCAATGACATAATAATATTAATAATAATAATAATAATAATAATAATAATAACACGAACACGAGTAACGAGAGAGTCATGATTACAATTCTCGCGCGCGCGACGATGCGCGCTCATGATTACTTTACTTATGGTATGATAATGTTATTTGGTTGATGACTTGCCGTTAGAACCGCTAACCGTTAATCGGATGCTGAGGAGTGTAAGCTACGATCGTACAACTACGTGAAAAGAGATTGCATATCTTTTCTTTTTTTCTGTTTTTTTCTCCTTTTTCACGAGAGACGTTCTTATCACGGGGAATGTCAAATTCGGTGGATGTAACATTGAGCGACGCGCTGAGCAAATCAAGTCGAAGATCCGATCGAGATTCGTGACGACGCGTCGCATCGCGCTGAAGGCGCGATGATTGGTTGATGGTATCCAACGCACACCTGCCGCGCGTTCGCATCCAACTTCCTCTCTCCTCTACAAACGTCTTCGAGTGCGATGTACGATATTCGATGATTCATTAAACACGATCACCTTACAATTACGTGAAAAACGCCAGCCATTATACGTATACTCCTGACCGCGTGGTGCGTCTCGCGCGCGTAACGTGGTGGAAACGTCGTCGCAGCAAACGCTCCAGAGAGAGAGAGAGAGAGAGAGAGAGAGAGAGAGAGAGAGAGAAAGAGAGATTAATTGACGATTAACAACATCATCGCCAAGGAGAATAACTTATACGACCACGTTTCGCGCGGGAGATTAGAGTGTAACCGTTTACAATTATAATTATAAAATAAAATATTAATAATAATAATAATAATAAAGTTTCATCGCAGTGACTGTAATGATAAGAATAATAAGAATAATAGGAATCTTTTTACTCTCGTCTGTTATTGACAGCATCTCTCTCAACTGGGAAACTTTGTCGATATTCAATAGAAAAAGCTATTAGGCCAACACTCGGCCCAACGTAAGATCGGCCTCGTGCGATTGTGAATATTCGTTAATTCTATTTACATACATAATAAACTACACGACAGATCGCATCGTCTAGATTAAGAAGAATCGTGAGCTGTCGCGACGGAATCTGCTCGAGAAGACATCCGTACGTCGGTCGTCCACGTTAGAAAACAAGCCGTCGTCACACGTGTGATGGAGTCGCACGGAAGGTCGTCCAACACTTCGATCGTCGGTTCTCTCTCCTAGCTGAATTTCTAACCTAAACACTGTCCCTAGACCTCGTGGAGGGCGACTGACTTCGATCATCGGTAAAAGTTCTTCGCACGATACTGCGTTCACCTGATTCCTCATCGTGGCCGCCGCATTCCGCGGCTGTTCTCACGCTGTCCTCTCTCTCTCTCTCTCTCTCTCTCTCTCTCTCTCTCTCTCTCTCTCTCTCTCTCTCTCTTCCACTACAGCTTGTACAAATATAAGTTAATCAGTGCTTGTCCGGCGCACAACATAGAAAAACGATTCGACAAGACGCCACGGCGAGTATCCATCTCGCGTTCCGTTACAAAATATCTCTATGGACAAGAGGGACGTGACGCGACGCGCCGTGATCGTCGCGTTATTGTTGGGACATTCGGGACGTTGATGCGCGACGCGTTGAAACTGGACCAGAGAAACGAGACCTTCGCTTCCGAGTCGTGGTTTCTTTCCCTTGCCGCGTTTGTAACGCAAAACTCTCTTTAGTAACCCCAACGTGCGATCTCTGATCCGATTCGCTCTCGATACTTGTCCCTCCCTCGCTGCGTCTGATTCGCGTTCAGCTCGCATGCGAAGGATGAGACATCGAACAATGATGATAAAATAATAATAATAATAGTAATAGTAGTAATAGTAATAGTAATAGTAGTAGTAATAGCAGTAAGTAGTAATAATAAGCAGCTTTGATTTTCGCAGAAGCTGATCGCATAGCGACATGTGATCCTTTCTGTTCCTCTTCTCCGCCCCCTCTTATGTAGCTCCTCGCGCGTCACCTCACACTTCGGGACTCATTCGAGGTGTGACCGCGTCGCGACGCGGCGCTCAATCCTACGTCACAATCTACACGCGTTAATATTTCTTACGAGGGCCCTCTCTCTCTCTCTCTCTCTCTCTCTCTCTCTCTCTCTCTCTCTCTCTCTCTCTCTCTCTCTCTCTCTCTCTTTCTCTCTCTCTACAGTGCCGGTCGATCGTTTCTCATCATTTGTTCCGAGTCCCGACTCGGAGCGCGCCGTTGTTCGCCGTTACGTCTCGGGGGCGAAGATCTCGACGGAACTGTCGGTGTTCTGCGCGTTAGAGCGCATCGCTCGTCTCCGCTCTTCGATCAGCTGCCGCCGCGCCTGCTCCCTCGCCTCCCGCGCCTTTCTGCTCGCCTCGCTGTTCGCGGTCGGCTTCGCTTTGTGGAGCGGGATGACTCGGCGCTTGCCGTTCTGCGAGGCTGGCGCAGCTTTCTTGTCCGGCACGATCTGCACGATAAGCGCGTCGAACGCGACGTTAAGTGACGCGATGGCAAACAGTGAGAACGTTTCGCATGGGGCGACTGTTCTTTTAGAATTGGAAGAGATCACAGAGTCGCGATATTAATATGATAAAATATGCTTCGACGTACCTCTTGCCACTGTGACTTCCGCAGCTTCTCAATCTGATCGAAGAGATCGTTCACTTGAACCACCTGCAGCATCACCATGTCCCAGAAGCCGGCCAAGTCCTCGTTCGTCGTCGGGAATTCCTCACCCGGCACCTGATTCTGCAATTTCATCATCGCAAATGTTAATCGAGGTGTTACCGACTCTCGGACGGCGAAGGATATTTCGGGAGACGAGTTCCTTACGATATTCTTCTGACACAATCCCTCGAATTGCTGCATCTTCTGAGAAGCCAACAGTCTAGCTTTGCCCGCGGCCGATCTTAGTTTACCGGCCGCCTCCTCCGGCAGCGCAACGGTGTCGCCGCTAGCTAATTCGGCCTCGGCAGATGCAGCCAGCGAGAGCAACCTGTCCGTCTCCTGCTTCAGCAACTATACGCACGAGGTGTATTCTTTATTACCGGGGATTATTATTTATTATGACGCGCATGCCACATCGCGCGCGTCATTTCCTTCAATTCTAATTACCTTCATGAAATAATGCCCGTCCTTCTCTTCGACCGCCTTCTCCGCCTCCTGAGCCTGCTTCGCTATGTTCGTCGAGCTGGCGCTGGGTTCCAACACGGGTAACACCACCTTCGGCGCGGCCGGCTGCTGATCAGTTATACTCGCGGTGTCGCGTTTCGACGTATCGCTCTCCGCGATCACTACTGGGATCCTCCTTGTCACGCTGTTCTGCGAATTCGTAGTCGCGGGGCTCTTCGGATCGACCTTCCGTGTCGCCGGTATTACCCTGAGCAGGTGGAGAAAGGCGGTTATCGTCGAGGGGAGAAAGCAAGGGAAGGAGGCGACTGCAGTTTCATTTGCGAATAAGCGTCGACGAGGAAAGACAACAAAGACAACGGGACGCTCTCTCACCTCTGCAGAGGCTTGATGATCTGTTCCGTACCATCAGTAGGCTTTCTGGTGCTAACTACAGGGAGCTGCGCCCGGAATTCCGGGCGCAGGTGCCGCAAGACCGGCAGATTCTTCAACGACTCGTCTGTGTTTGCGTTGTCTGTCGAGATATTATTATTGTTACTGGACTTATTGAAACTACTGTCGCTGGTGGCGTTTAGCTTAGTGGTGCTGCGTTTGAAGAAGAAACCCTGCGCTAAAGCACCTGGGCCGTAGAGCCGCTCCACCCGCTGCTGAATGAAGGACTTCTCGCTGCTCGACGAGGTGTTCAGCACCTGGCTCTCGACTTCGGTCGTCAAGCCGTTTAGAATATTAGTGTCGCTGAACGAAGTACTTGAGACTGCAAGAAAGAAAGTGTGCATGAGATTACAGTCTCCAGATCAGAAGGCGAGCTGCTTCGTGAGGGAAATTCTCCTTACGATTACTGATACCCTGCTGCTGCTGCTGCTTGGGAGAGGAGAAACTCGCCGGGAAGGTCTTGTCCTGTTGACCGCAGGACATCATCGGCGACCTCCCGGCGGGGCTTTGCTTGCTGACGGAAGCGCTCGTCCTGATGGGGCTGAGGTCGGGAAACGCCGTGTGCAACGACACTCCTTTGTCAACCTCCGAGTAGTCTTGGCATATCGTGATCGAGCTTCTGGTCTCTATGTACGTCTCGACCTTGCACTCCTCCTTCACGCCGTTGGCGAATCCATTTTGCCGGTCCATCGCTAACGGCGATATCGAGTGACTCTTAGGCGGATGATACTGCGACGGAACACTGAGATTCTCGTTGGATCTGCAAGTTTTAAGTGTTCTCTCTCGTTTAATCGATCCGCTCAAGTGTTTCTCGAACAAAGACGTGGAAATCAACGATGTCAATGATGTCAAGATGACATCAGGTGTCGAGTAGCCGGATATAGGAATATCAGAGTTATGCCGACGGCAATTGGTGAAGACTCTAACACTGAGAGAAAAGTATGTAAAAATAAAAAGATATTTATTCGATGGATTCTAACGATGGATATATTGCTGCGGGCCTCGGTCATTCGGAATTTATCGATGGCCGGAATCGTACAAAGCAAACTTCAGGACTGGTTTCCTTGCAACTGCGACTTTGCGAAAATCCTTGACGTGTGTATAACAAAATGCTCGTTCTCTTTTATCTTTCGTGAGTAATTCTTTCTCTTGATTACGCGAGGCCTGTGCGGCGCACAATAATATCTATTTAAATCTACATTCCTTTCCTTTCTTATTCCAGATAGACAATTGTGTTTAGAAAAATCGTGGTTTTAAGAAAATGTAATTTCCTTATTTGGAAAAGAAACGTCCGCATAAAAATGCGTATACTAGTACAAATAAATATGTTATGAGTCTCGCAGCGAATATTTGTTAATATTTCTTAATAATAATATATATATATACACACATATATATATATATATATATATACAGGGTGTCCGAAATCTTTTCGTAACGAAAAATTGTGAGGATTAATTAGATCAAACTGAGAAGAAAAGTCAAGTGCCATTTTGCAAAAATCGCAATAGTTATTAAGTTATTAAATTAATAGTTATTAAGTTAATACTTATTAAGTTATTAATGATTGAAAATGACCACAGCTGGCTCTTTTAATTAAATAATGGTAAAGGACTTTTTATTCAGAATAACCTAATCTACAATTATATGACGGCTATTATATCTAGCGACAGGTTCAAGATTCAAGGTTCAAAGTTCAATACACTCATATTTATTGCTAGACACAGTAGCCGTTGTATGATTGTAGATTAGATCATTCTGAACAAAAAGGTCCTTTACCATCTTGCAAATAAATACGCAAATATGCAAGTTTTGAAGTTAAATCAATTAAAAATCAATTGAAAGAGCCTCTAGATGTTATTTTCAATCATTAATAACTATTGCGACTTTTGCAAAATGATACATGACTCTTCTTGCCAGTTTGATCTTCACAACCAGATTAATCTTCACAAACTTTTCCTTTCCAAAAGATCCCGGATATATACAGGACACTCTGTATACGTATACTTTTTGAAAAATAAGTTTTTAATGAATTCTTAAAATAAATTTTTTTAAATATATATTTTTAATAATAAATATCTTTTAGACATATCTTTCCTATCAATGTAGTATTTTTATTGTACGATAAACGATAAACATCTCACTTGAAACCTGCAGGACTCGTGTCCCTCGTGATCAATCTTGCGCCGGGGCTGCTGTCTCTCGAGCGGAATCCTTCCCTCAGCTTGCTGTCGTACCTGGTGATGCCCGAGTAACCGCTTATGCTGCACGCCAGACCCAAGTAACTAGGTTTCTTCGCTGTCAGCTGCTCCGGCTCGGGGCTGCCCCGTGGACCATTGCTGACGTTCAGCTTGTCATCGGGGCTGAGGTGCGACTTCTGTAGCGTCTCGCTGCTGCCGTTCGCCAAGTTCTCAGCTGACGACACCGGCTCACCGTTGCACGACAAGTTCAGGCTGTGCAGGGTCTTCTCGGACACCGAGTCCACAGTGTTTTCTGAAAGGAGAATTTCAATCTGACTCACGGAATCGCAACACACACACACACACTCAACCCACGCAGCTTACGCTACCTGCGAAGTAAGCTCGCGAAAATACCGGGTGACGAAGTCACGTCGCCGGTGCTCGGCTGAAAACCTGACTACTTCCTATCTCTGCATCCATTCTCTCGATCTGATTAAGATCTCATCGAGATCTCACGTACGCGACGCGGTTTGGGATTGAGAAAAGTCGCACAGCTGAGCACACCTCGGACGTCGCGTTTGGCCTTCAACGCGCAGCTTCTTGCCGATCATTCCGATTCACCCCGCGTTCTCAGTCTCAACTCTCGCGGCCGCCCGCGAGCCAAGTGTGCTCTACGTCGGAGACATTCACCTTCGACGAGCACCGTCACCCACGCGCTGCGCCACAGCGTATGCCAGCTCGCGTTAAACGAATCTTCTTCACATCGTTGCGTCGTGACGCGACCTTATTTTCTGCACTGGCTGGTCCAATACGCGAGAGAGAGAGAGAGAGAGAGAGAAAGAGAGAGGGGGGGGGGAGAGACCAACGGAATGCTTCCGAGTTCGTTATGCTGAAGTGATCAAACGTAAATCCAGATCAACGACAGATTCACCAGCTGCGCTCTCTCGATGCCGATCGAACGACGCGTCACGCGGACTCGGGGCGAATCCACATGCCGATTCTCCACGCTCGTCCGAGCCGCAGCGACGGTCCTGAAACACTGAGAGCCGAGCCTCTTGCCGGCGCAGCGCGGCGCCTTCCTCGCGACGACGGGAAGAAGAAGAGGCGTCGCACTCGCGAGGCGGTGTACTCGCCTACGGTCTAAATCCGATCGGCATGTCGAGCGGGCAAAAAGCGCCCGCGACCTGTGCGAGGAGGAGGTGACGACGAGAGAGGCGGAGGGGCCGACCTTGAAGGGCCGCGTGGATCGCCGGAAATTTCTCGGCTGAAGATCACGGCGAGAAGTCGGGAGCGAGGCGACGCCGTGTCGTGCACGAGGACGAGTGCTGGGCTCGTCCGCCAGTCGCGGCCATCAGCTTCAATCTCGAGATCGTTGCGGAATAATTGAGAGAATTGACTCGAGCGATAATCCCACGTTCTGTCTCTTCCAGGCGCGTTCCAGTCTCCTCCAGAACGACCGCCTCGCTTGAGAGACGCGTCTAATCGCTCGCCGTTCTCTCTCGTGGAGGAGTTCCTCGCCAGAAACGACCCTCCCAGCCGGAACCAGTCGTCTCTCTCTCTCTCTCTCTCTCTCTCTCTCTCTCTCTCTCTCTCTCTCTCTCTCTCTCTCTCTCTCTCTCTCTCTCTGCTAACGCGCCGAGCTTGTCTGTCGTCCCTAAATCGTCCTAGCGACGACAAGCCGCAACTTGGTCAGCCTCGCTTTCGTCAAGCTTCGCTCATGTATCGTCGCGGAACTTAAAAGTCGCCCACAGCCTTGTCAAACGGGGACTTGCAACCTAACCTACATCGCACGCTTGTATGCTTTTCTTTTGGGAAATTCAGCACATTCAAATCAGAAGAATCATCAGAGTCCCCCCCCCCCCCCGTTGACGCTGATCGGAAGAAGATGGCTTCGGCCATCTCGGGCTTGAGAAATTTACAGAGCCGAGACGATCATAGGATTCTCTTCTCCGAATCAACGAGTATCAGCGGGTTTGCGAATCTCTATCGGGAGGAGGAGGCGGGGGGAGGAGGCCAAAACCGGCTACTATCCGGACGCGTCTCTCGCAATAATGTCGGTATAGCCAACCTGATCGGTCGGACGCGGAGCGGTCGACGTCCAGGCTGCAGCTGCCGATACTCTCCTGGCTGGTCATGTTAGGGTGATGGTGCCTGGCGGCGATCTCCGCGGCTGTCTTGTGGTCCGGGTCGAGGCGGTGATAGTTGAGAGGCTGGACGGCCAGGGAGAGCGGCCTGTTACGTCGGTGCGAGCGGATGCCGCCGGCTCCGGGTACCGACGACGTCACCGTCGCGGTGCAGGAGTCGTCGACGTCTTCCAGGCCCGCCACCTCGCCGCCCCCGCACGGCTGCCCGCTTCCTCGCCGATCCTCGTCCACGCGGCCCTCGTGCACACTGCGCAAGCAGTGCGTTCTCATTCGTGTTCAATCACGCGTGCTAAGCTGTCCTCGAGCTCGGGTCTCGCGGTACTACTACGTGCAAGGTCGGCGAACTTGTACTCTCTGGCGGTTCCTCGCAGCGGAAGGTCGAGCGACTCCTCGAACTCAGAGTGTGACTTCTCCCCGGCTTCTGGCCGGGGGAGGGGGGGAGGGTCGAGTGAACATCTCCGCTCGAAACTGAAGAGTGGAGGACCTCATCTCGCAGGGATCGGGTCTGACACTCTGACAGCTCGAGCGAGACGTTCGCTTCGCAAGGTACCAACACTCTGCACTGGTCCTCAGTGAGATCCCGCTCCAAGGAACCTCGAGAGAAGTCCCTCATAATTCCCGCGAAAAACCGCAAGAAGAATCGACCGAGAATACTACGGAATGCTCCGTGTAACGGATTCCCTCTCCGCGGCGGCGGAGAGCTCCGTCCACGTAGGCGGAAAATGAACGTTCCATCCTGGTCTCTCCGCGAGGCTCGAACTTAAAACATTTAGTATCCGAATGTAGCTTCGCTGTTTCCCGCCGTTCCTTCGACATCTCGACAAGTGTGCGCCTCGAGAAAGCGACGCCGGCGACCTTCGCGGTTCTTCCTCGCGTCGCGACTATCGCTTCAGTACGGTACTTCGGCACGGCGTAACGGCCAGCGATAAGGATATCTTCGGGCTCCTTGCCGCGACGTATCATGGGACTCGAGCTCGAGAACAGCGTGAACGACGGAGTGGAAGCGGTGCCACCCGGGGAATCTCTCGCGGTGCATTCTGCGTGCGTGATGCCGCAGCTGGACTTGGCCGAGTAAGATTTGCCGACGCATACACAACAACGCTGTCTTCAGCGGGAGATAGCAAGAGTATTAGGTGTACAAATGAATAATCCAAACTTTTTCAAGCGGCTAAGAAATTCAGCTTCAACTTATCCAATTTTCCCGCTCTTTTACGGTTATGTAGTGTTGACACACATTTATGAAAAATTACATTTAGTATGGCGGAAGGCGCTCCACATAACCTCAAAAATTATTCAGTTCAGTACAGTCCAAAGTGGCGACAGATAAGGTGCACATCCGGCACTTTCTTTACACTTTCTTTACGAGTTCCAACAAGGAAAAAATGCTGCAAGAGCATGCGAATCGATTTGTTCCTTCCTCGATTGAAGATGTTCTATCGTGCGATGTGTGTGTATTTTGGTTTAGACGGTTTAAAAGCGACGATTTCAGTCTGAGTGACGAAGAACGTCCTGGAGGCCCTTGGAAGTGCGGCAGCAATAATTTGGAGCAACAGCTCGCTGACAATTCAGCACAAACGCAAAAAGAGCTTGCAGAGCAGTTAGGAGTAGCGCAACAAACTATTTCCAAACGCCCACACGAGGCGAAGATTCAGAAAGAAGGAAAATGGGTTCCGCATGAACTCACTGAAGCCAACAAAAATCAACGAGTGGCAGTGTGTCTTTCTCTTTTCACTAAGCAGCGGAGAAAGTCTTTCTTTGTGAAAAATCGTTACGGGCGATGAGAAGTGGATACTCTGTGACAATCCGAAACGCAGAAAGTCATGGGTAAGTCCCGGCGGACCATCAACATCGGTCACAAAGCCAAAACATTTTGGGAAGAAGATTCTGCTCTGCTTTTGGTGGGATATGAAGGTTTTGATGATTTAATATAAGCTACTAAAACCGAATAAAACAATTACTGCAGACCGCTACCAACATCAATTAATCCGTTTGAGTCAAGAATTGGAACGAAAACGCCCGTGTAGTGGCAAAGGAGAACGTCCTGTGAAATTGTTACATGATAACGCTAGGCCACACATTGCTTCTACGACAAAAGACATCATAATGAGTCTTGGCTGGGACGTCTTGCAGCACGGCCGACGTATTCACCAGACATCGTTCCTACCGATTACCACTCGTTCCGGTCGATGCAACATGCCTTGTCCGATACACACTTCGGATCAGAGGATGAGATTCGAAAATGGCTTGACGACTTTATCGTGTCCAAAGACACAACATTTTTCCGACATGGAATTCATCAGCCGCCTGAAAGATGGCTTGAAGTTATAGAAAACAACGGTGAGTACTTTGATTGACAAATTTGTTTTACTTCCTTTTAAAATAAACCTCGAATTTAGCTGAACAATTTGGATCATTCATTTGTACACCTAATAGATATTTTACAGTAGCGTTGGCCGGGCGGGTGAAACTGATCACCAGGTGCCATCGTGTGCCGTGACGAGCGTGGAAGGTGCAGCCGATAAAGCATAAACCTCACACACAATCAGAGTCAATACAAGCGGGTGCATGACGAACGTGTTGCGATCAGACTGCATGCAGCGGAGGTCGGGGTCTAACATCGCCGGCTAGAGTGTATTCATCTCGCACGACAAAAACGCGTGTTTGTCGGTCGCAAAATTGTCGCGCGTTTACAAAAAAATCGAGCATCTCGTTGTGTATTAAAATGCTATTTTATCGGGTCGGTGCGTAATTTCATAGCGTTCGCTTTCTGACGGAAGTTTGTCCAAGAAAAAAAAAGAGAAAGAAATTTTTACAATGTTTTATATTGTACGTCATCTTGGAACCCCAGTCTTACTCTGGAAGGCTTCAAAATGGCGTATAAGATATCGATTGGAGTAATAATTTCATATCGGCCGAAGCTTCGTTGGAAAAATCGAGAATAGACGGCGGCCGTATTAAAATGCTATTTTATCGGGTCGGTGCGTAAATTCGTAGCGTCCGCTTTCTGACGGAAGTTTGTCCATGAAAAAAAGAAAAAGAGAAAGAAATTTTTACAATGTTTTATATTGTACGTCATCTTGAAACCTCAGTCTTGCTCTGGAAGACTTCAAAATGGCGTATAAGATATCGGTTGGAGTAATAATTTCATATCGGCCGAAGCTTCGTTGGAAAAATCGAGAAGAGACGGCGGCCGTATTAAAATGCTATTTTATCGGGTCGGTGCGTAAATTCGTAGCGTTCGCTTTCTGACGGAAGTTTGTCCGAGAAAAAAAAAAAAGAGAAAAAAGTTTTACAATGCTTTATACATCATCTTGAAGCCCCAGTCTTGCTCTGGAAGATTTCAAAATGATGTATGAGATATCCGTCAGCGAAATGATTTCATATCGGCCGAAACTCCGTTGGAAAAATCGAAGAGACGGCTGAGGAATCCCCTCGCATTTCGGTGGCATTGCACGCCACTCGTCCGGCCCGGAAACCAGAGGGACCAGCTTACGGCTTGCATCGGCGCATGTAAAGTGTATACGGCACTCGTAACGGACTGCAGAAACGAGTCGCGCAGGTAGGAAAGGATAAGCAGACAGGTAGAGTCGCGTACAATGTTGTTTACGATGCAGAAATCGGCGCTGACATAATTGCGAGTTAACGGTTAAGGTGCATACAAGGTGTGCAGGCGTGCGGCCAAGCAAAATTAAGGTGTGCAAGGTGAACGAATCATGCTCGGTCGTGAGTATTGATGATAATGACAGGTGCACGCGCGCGAGTGTGAGTCTTCGGACCGGCGCACAGTGTTGCAGAAATCGCTAAACGTGGCCAAAATAGGAAGAAATAAAAAGCGAAATTTTCGGCTCCCGTTTTCAATATATTTTCTAAAAGGTCCAAATTAATGAGTTGTAGTAACATTTTGATGAAATCCAATTCTATCACGAAGATAAGTGGATTCAAATGTGATGCGAAGTACAGAATAGCTGGGTTATAACCCTCCAAATGATATAACTGATTTTGCGTTGAAACAATTTTTTATCGTGAAAATGATGTTCCCTGTCTAATATCTCATCTGTGTAGTTTTATTTCCAATAAAGAGTATATTAGAAAGTTATAAGTATATACAATAAAAATTAGATTTACAGGACTCACTTTTAATATACAGTTAATCACTTTAATCGTAATATATAAAAAATGCATCATTTCGCACAATGTTGTAACTTTGTGAAAATAAAGATAAAATATCTATTAATCCTTATGCAAAGGTGGAAAGAGCGATATCCAGCGCTTACAAACACATATGATAAATTTTATAAGCAGAGTTTGACATTCAGTGCGCTTACGGTCAGACGCTGTTTACTGCAGGTGATATTGTTCAACACAAAAATTATATCCTCTATCAAAATTCTTTATTCTAGTTAATTTTGCTAATGTTAACTACAAATATAATAATTAACGATGATATTTAAACTCTAATTAAATAACGTAGTAAACAATAGTAAAAATAAAGACTGCAGAGATATGAGAGAGTATCATACAAGAAAAAAACTCGAGAATTGCGACGAGTGAAGATTTATTTAAAAGACTTCTTTCCTCAGATCCCATCATTTTGTCTTTAAAAAAAGTTTCAGATAAAAAATCCGATCCCTTCCCTAAAGAAGTTATTGAATTGCTTGCAAATCCAGTTGTAGCAAATATAGTTTCGGACGATGAATAGTTATATTAAATATTTTGTTTAGTTAATAGTTATATGGAGTAAAAAGCAGAAGATAAAAACTAAAAAAAGAAAATAAAAAAACAAAAAATAAAAACAAACAAAAAAAGTAAAAAATAAAATAATAAAATTAGAAAACATGTTATTTTAGTGATAAAGTACTAGTATTTACAATATAGTATGCTTTTCATTCAACTATAGTACATTATAGCGACAATTGATTTATGGCCACTATTTGGAGGTTTCGCAACACTGTGCGGCGGAGCCGGTAGCCGACTCTGGAATGTTTATCTCGCGACAAAGGAATCTCGATGTCTCGCCCGTGTCGTTCCGCGCTCGTAGCGATTGATGATTTCAACGCGGAAAAATACGGCGCTGGAGAGAAACAGTTCGACTTCGGTTCCGCGCGCTCGACGACTGCAGACTCTCCAGGCATTTTCCGACAAAGGGGGCCTTGCTGTTTAATTCGTACTTGCGCTCGTAGCAACTCATAGTCTCATCAGCTAAAAATAACGGTGGATGAAAATAGCTCGACTTTGATTGTGGGGACT